GAAAGTCTTTTTCAATTACTGTACGCCAGTAACAGATATTTGATGCCATTTCCTAAGGTACATGGAAAGTATGTTTGAAACATAAAAATGTTGATAAATGATGTTTAAAGTTTCATTTTTCGGTTGATATGTTAGATAAAAGACTTCCCCTTGGGTTTTTATGATGTTAAAACATTCATGATGATGGCAACATACTCCTTGACTGTGTGGCGAAACCAATTTAAAATAGGTCCCAAGCAGTGAGTGAGTGAGTATGGTTTTACGCTGCTTTTAGCAATATTCAAGAAATGTCACGTCAGAGGACACCAGAAATGGGCTTCACACATTGTACCCATGTCGGGAATCGAACCCGGGTCTTTGGCGTGACCCGAGTGAGCGAACGCTTTAACCACTAGGCTACCCGACCGCCCCAAATGGAACTATGCTGGTTGAAGAGGCGACTCAATGGTTTGGGTCTCAGACTTGGTGACTTGATTGCCTGTGATTATACCCTGATTTCATGGGCCAGACTTTATTATTTACAGGCTGCTGTTATATAGCAGATACTTTGCTGAGTCGGGCGTTAAGCAACACGCAGGCACGCAGGCACGCAGGCACGCACGCAGGCAGGCACGCACGCAGGCACGCAGGCAGGCACGCACGCAGGCACACAGGCAGGCAGGCACGCACGCACGCACGCACGCACGCACGCACGCACGCACGCACGCACACACACACACACGCACGCACTTGTCTCACCAGGTGACAGTTGACAAAGCTATAGGTACTTCAGCTTCTACAAAGAGACAGATTGAGCAATCTCTTTTCCTACTGCTAAACAAAGATCTGAGGACATCCCATTAAGGGTCACCTCAGAACGATGGCAGATTTACAAGTTATTGTTGTACAAGTTGACACTGGTGATATATAAGATGTAAGTACAGTACTTGTAAGTACTGATACTGAGAGCTTTTTGGAAAGGAAGGGGTGGATTTTGAGATCAAAAGTTTACATACAAGTTCTAGATAAATGGAAATAGTTTTGAAGTAATTTGCTTTTTGGATTCTTGTTATTTCTCCTGCAAACATATCAATAAAGAATAAGTTTTAGAGTTGAAACATGATTTCACTCCTAAATGTTTACCTATAAAACTTTATCAGGAATGTGTCATCTTCGACTGGGTTCTCCCTCCCTCCCCCTCCACTGGGTTCTTGTATGACGTGTGACCCTCCCCCTCCACTGGGTTCTTGTATGACGTGTGACCCTCCCCCTCCACTGGGTTCTTGTATGACGTGTGACCCTCCCCCTCCACTGGGTTCTTGTATGACATGTGACCCGCCCCCTCCACTGGGTGCTCCCTCCCTCCCCCTCCACTGGGTTCTTGTATGACGTGTGACCCTCCCCCTCCACTGGGTGTCCCCCCCCCCCGGTTCTTGTATGACATGTGATCCTCGCCCTACAGTAGGTGCTCCCTCCCTCCCCCTTCCTTGGGTTCTTGTATGACATGTGACCCACCCCCTCCACTGGGTGCTCCCTCCCTCCCTCCCCCTCCACTGGGTTCTTGTATGACATGTGACCCTAACCCTCCACTGGGTTCTGTGTGACGTGTGACCCTCCCCTCCACTGGGTTCTGTGTGACGTGTGACCCTCCCCTCCACTGGGGACCCATGACCCTCCCCTCCACTGGCTTCCTGTATGACAAAGACACATGTGACATTGTGTCAATCACTGTCAGCATGACTGACATGCTTTTGCAGCTGGAGCAGATTAATCATCAGCAGTGTACCACAGTGACTAGCTCAAATATGTAAATCATTTCCACAATTATTAAGAATTTTTAAATTAAACTAAACAGCTGCTGCAATGTTAGAATTCAGATTAAATTATCCCATGGTTGAAGAGTGACAAATATTAACACAAGAGATTTTGATTATGGATGAATTCATAACAATGATAAAATAAAAAGGCCACTTGTAAATAAAATGTCAAACTCCACACCAGCCTCATCATAGTCATGCTTGAAGGAGTTGTGGGATCAAGGTGAGTTCTCATTGCATTCTCAGCTCCCTGGGGAGCATACATACATTTCTAAAGGGAGGATCCATCGCCCAGGTGTGACATATAGAAAACCGTATAATAAACAATGAACAGATGGGGGATATGGTAATTGGGTTGGACTAAAATTACCGATGACATTGTCTCCCACTAAATACCCTTTTGGTTTCTGACTTGTTTAAATTCCTGGGGGGATAATTAGGACTAAGGTACTTCATGTTCATACAGTCAGATCAAGATATCTCCCCTACCCAAATCTGAATTGTTACAGGGCTATGTCCTTTAGTATTGAGTGAGTGAGTGAGTTGTGTTTAACGCCACTTTTAACAGTATTCCAGTTATATGGCGGTGTTTCAGCCCATGTGGGAGGAAAGCCCGAAGTGATGCAGGTCTGAGACGTTTATCACTTCAGTGAAACCCACAAGCACGGGTATGGTGCTGACAAACCTAGAAACATAATCGGGGCGAACTGGGATTTGAACCCACAATCATAGGCTTCTGGCATAACGAAATCAAAATCCGGTTTGAAAAATGTTGTGCAGATTTCGGTCAATTGCAAGATTTGCAAAGGATGTGCACCGCCAACTCAGGTTCAGCAGATATTTTCCAAATGTTTTCTTGTTTATAATCAAGGTGCTCACATGATTTGATGCACTTTGTGATGTAAGACCTGTTTTGTCACAATATAGATCATGATTATTTATCAGATCGTCTTGACTTGGCGCTGCCATTTTGTTTGAAGCAAATGCAAGTGATACAAGAGGCTGAATCTGATTGGCCTATAGGAGAGGCATAGAAGGGACACAACTTGTAATAACCAGTGGTGGCGCAACGATCAAGCCAAGAACTTCCAGCCTAGTTTGGCAAGGGTGGAAACGGGACTTTTATAGTCAGTTAACTCCCTTGCCTCAGGAAAATGGCTGTATTAACACTTAATGTTGGTCGGGCCTGTGAATTGTTGAGTGGGAGAGCTAACCTTAAAGATGTGACTCCTATAAAAATATCATGTCTGGCCTGGTACTGATACTCTTAATATAGAAAACCCACAGATGAGTGATGGATAGAATTTCAAAACAAGTCACTTTTCCCAATAAGCAGTTTTACACCTTTTTTCTGACATTAATGCCTTGGTTAAAGTATTTATTTTGAAACAACCCACTTCTAACAAGAGATTACATTTTGAGAGCTTGTCAATAAGGTCACTGTTGAAATATACTTTGGAGATACTGAAATTAACACCTTGATTGACAGCATTTACAAAGGTCTTTCACCTTTGAAGTGTACATCAGAAATTAACAACACCTTGGCTGAAATTAGCAACATGTTATGTACATCAATATCAAATCAACACTAGTTGGTGCAAAGAAATTGATCACTGTCCCATACATGATTGACAGGCAGCATAAGCTGGGCAATGACATCGCACGGAGCAAACAAATGTCATGGCTGTCTCTAGGAAAAAACCCACCCATTTGACTTGTTATGATTTATTTGCTTAATGTGAAGTTTGTTGAGTAAATAATCTGACAAATTTAGGCAATGTATATTTATTAGCTTCAATGGCTGCTATTTAAAGATGATAAATATGCTCTGCGTGACTCAGACATGTATAGAAATGTGTGCAAATAAAAAAAAAAGTATTGAAAAGATCTAAGTCTCATTTCCAAACTTTGTGTATGTATCAAATTTCTTCTTTTTTTATCATCATGATCATATTACTATTTAAATGTTATATTTGGGATAACACTTTCTTAGTAAAGTACAGATTCTTGTATTTTGGGGGGTTTGAATCCCGGAGTACGAGAGTACTAGAAGTACTAAGTACTAGAATCTGTACTTTACTAAGAAAGTGTTATCCCAAATAAAACATTTTTATTACATTTGATCACTTTCTAAATGGCATTGTGTGTTCATATTACTATTCCTTACGAGTTTGTTGCAATATTGAGGTATTTTATTTTTCATAAAGGTGCGTGCTCATTATCCGATCTGTCTGTCTTTTTGGCATTATCTTTGAGGTCATTAATATATATTTTTTCTCAAACTAAATCTAAATTTATCACTTGATAAAAGTGTGAATCCAACAAGTTATCAGCTGAGTAACCAGTGCAGCATCCTCATTAATCAGCAGCAGCAGCAGCAGCAGCAGCAGCAGCAGCAGCAAATGATAGATTGCAATCTCATTAAAATCAGATCTTTAACTCCAATATAAAACCTGTGTAGATCCGGGTCAGAATTGGTGTTTAGCAACCAATGCGTGTGGGAAGACGTGACTAACAGGATCACGTGGCCAGGCTCCCTGACTTGGGTGATGCATTGTATCCTGTGCTCATTATTTACAGACCATCATCATATAGCTGGAATATTGCTGTGTGCAGCACTAAACAACAAACAAACAAACAAACAAACAAAGTGACAAGAGAAATGGAGGTGGTCACGCCACTTCCCGAAAGAGGTGAGGTGAGGTGAAATGGGGTTTAACATCACGTCCAAGATTATTGCACTTATATAGCGACGTGCATGCATGTGTATGTGTGTATGTGGCTGCTTGTACTAGTCCAGACTGATGCCGATTTATAGTGCTAGCTCACTGAGATACCATGCTGCAGTTTAACATGAATACCCCACTCAGACACAGTATACTGACTTCTGAGCCGACCAGCCCTTGTTTTAGCCCCTTAATGCCGAGGGCCAGACAGGGTAACAACAAGTACTATCTTTTAACGTCTTTTGGTATGACGCGACTGGGGATCGAACCCCGGACCTTCCATTCTCCTGGCGGACGCTCTACCACTAGACCACGGAGGCGGTCACTTCCGGAATGAAGCTATGGTGAATGGGCCCAGGGTATTATCTGACCTTTTCCTGACCACTATCCACCAGTGTGACAACAATCTCAAATAGCAAGCGAACTGATGATTCAATGCGTTTCTGGGACACTGTACCAATGACTAAAGAGTACTTACCATAAGCATGTCGCTGCCATTGTAGTCTCTTACTATCGTTGAGTCCACGTCACCTTTTTGTTCTAATGTTAGTTTCTGACCGTCCAGAGAGGCTGTGGTCTGTGAACAAGCAAACAGATACATAGATAGAGAACAGCACTAGGGTTTACCTGGACCTGCTCAGAGGCTGATAACTGACCCCAAGCCTGCAGAAAATGACAGTAAAAATTTCCAAATTGAACAAAAATGTCCCAATACCTCAGAATTTATGGAAACAAAAACAGTAAAAACATCCAATTTTGAACAATATCCTAATTTGTGTCAAATTTGACTGCTATGGGCACGTAGTTTGGAATCTTAGATAAATGAGTGAGTGAGTGAGTATGGTTTTACGCCGCTTTTAGCAATATTCCAGCAATATAACGGCGGGGAACACCAGAAATGGGCTTCACACATTGTACCCATGTCGGGAATCTAGCCCGGGTCTTCAGCGTGACGAGAGAACGCTTTAACCACTAAGCTACCCGACCGCCCCCTCCTAGATAAATGGATTCTAAACACAATCTTTTCAAAAATATAATAAAACTTCTGTGTTTGTATTAGCAATATCTACGCATCTAATTGATTTTGGTTTCTGTATTTCAATATGAGTATGTCCTTTGTAAACAAAAGAAATGGTTCTCCAGAAACTTTTTACAGGATACAATTTCAAAACATGGCTATTGTATATGAACTATAAATTAGCATGAACACACACAATGCCATTTAGAAAGTGGTCAAATGTAACAAATGTCATATTTGGAATAACACTTTCTTAGTAAAGTACAGATTCTCATACTCTTTTTGGTCCGCTTTGAATAGCATTCCATGATATTACAACGTGTCAGCTTAGCGTGAAAGGAAAGCCGATGCGTCAAGTGATGCAGGTCACAGACTTTTATCACCTTGGTGCAACCCATGAGCTTGTGTATGATACTGACAAACCTAGAAACATAATGGGGGTGAACTAGGATTTGAACCCCAAATCACAGAATTCTGGCATGCCCAAGGGATGGAACTCTGCACAGGGAATTGTGACACCTAAGACGACTGGGCCACACGTGCCCCTGTTCAAAAGAAACCAAAGTTACAACTTTGTCTAAATACAAGTAACTCAGACTTTGACAATATCAAAGATCCTACCTTGCACTTCCTGCCGTCTGGTGTATTTTCGTCAAATGTTGTCCCAACGGTGAATTTCAGCTCGGAGCTCTTGAATGTGGAGGACGTTTTAATCTCCCATTTATCTCCTTCGACCTTGACCTCCTGGCTTGGCTTCAAGGCTCCAGCCATCTTTCTTGTGACAAGCCCAACACCTGCAAAGATAAAAGGACAATTAGTCAGTAAGTTGGATTAATCAAATTTCAGTTATGTCCTGGTGCGTTTCAATATTTCAGTTATACTATTAGGTTAAGTGAAATTGGGTTTAACGTCGCGTCCAAGATTATTGCACTTATATAGCGACATGCATGCACGTATGTGTGTGGCTGCTTGTACTAGTCCAGACTGATGCCGATTTATAGTGCTAGCACACTGAGATACCATGCTGCAGTTTAACATGAATACCCCACTCAGACACAGTATACTGACTCCGAGCCGACCAGTCCTTGTTTTAGCCCTTTAATGCTGAGCGCCAGGCAGGGTAACATCTTTTGGTATAACGCGGCCAGGGATCGAACCCCCTACCTTCCGCTCTCTGGGCGGACGCTCTACCACTAGACCACGGAGGCGGTCAGTTATACTATTATGTTACAGGGGGTATTATATGGGTGTTTTCATATTGGCCTGCCCTGTGAACATCCGTAAAAGGCGACTATGCTTATCGTAAGAGGCGACTAACGGGATCAGGTGGTCAGGTTCGCTGACTTGGTTGATGCATGTCATCGTATCCTAATTGCGTGGATCGATACACATAATCACTGGATTGTCTGGTCCAGACTCGGTTATTTACAGACCGCCATCATATAGGTGGAATATTGCTGAGTGCGGCGTTAAACATCAAACAAACAAATCATGTTGGCCTAGTAATAGGTCCAAGGTGACAGTCATATTGGCCTGAGGCAGTTAGCTAGTTTGATGATGACACTCTTTATTATATACCGTATTCGACGTAATAAGCGCCCAGGACGCTCTCAAAATTAGAAACAGGGAGCTCTTATTAGAATATTATTTTGGTGAAAAAAACAGAGTTGAAAGATAAATTTCGTAGTTTATGCTGACAGCCTGAAATGTTTATGTACGACAGATATATTTTTCCAGGATTTAATTGCCCATAATTAAGGGTGCATATAACACACGAGTGCGTATTATACGCGAAAAAATAAGTCTTGTGTACAATGATCAATCGGAAGGGTGCAAATTGGGATTGTTCACTAGCCAATATATTAGCAAATATGGCCGTGGGCGCTAATTACGTCGAATACGGTGCCTCAGAGTGAAAGGGTATCAGCAACCAGTGTGGCCTCTTGAAAATGTGAGTTTTTAATTCCAACTACTATTTAATTCGGGTACAAAGTCTCCGAAGAGCACATTTAATAACACTGCATGTCCTACTGGTGACACCGATCTGTGAACACTTGACTGATTCCTGCCTATTGTTGTTATTTAGCAAAAAATAACAATTACCATGATTATACACAACTCTTTCTTATATTGAAATGAGGTAGCCTAGATGTTAAAGGGTTCGCTCGTACGCCGAAGACCCGGGTTCGATTCCCGAGAAGGGTACAATGTGTGAAGCCCATTTCTGGTGTCCCCCGCCGTGATATTGCTGGAATATTGCTAAAACTGGCGTAAAACCATACTCACACACTGATTATATTGAATAGAAACCTTTTGGATAACAAAAAGGGCATTCAATGTTTAAAAACAATTATCACCCAAACCACAAACTTTGTATATTACATATTATATATTTGTATATAGGTCCGTGCCATATCTGATCAGTTTTCAGCCCACTGATGAATGTTTTTTCCTATTTGAAGAGAAATTGAGGTGATGTTGTTGTATGTTGTTTGTTGTTTAACGCCGCACTCAGCAATATTCCAGCCATATGACGGCGGTCTGTAAATAATCAAGTCTGGACCAGACAGTCCAGTGACTGACATCATGAGCATTGATCCACGCAATCGGGATCGATGACATGCTTCAAACCAAGTCAGCGAGCCTGACCACCCGACCCGTTAGTAGCCTCTTACGACAAGCATAGTCGGCTTTTACGGCAAGCATGGATTGCTGAAGACCTATTCTACCCCGGATCTTCACGGGTCCATTGAGCTGATGGAATGAATATATGGACAGAGTGTACTTAAAAGGTGCATTTTGCCATTTGTGTGTGCAGAGCCACTCATAGTCTGTCTTACAGACCCTGATACAAATATATATCAAATACAGCCCATGCAAGTCTATAATGTTTGGCAAGTCTAGATTACTGCAGTATCTGAAAATGAAGAGAATCACTGGGCTCCCTTTTCATTATATTTTTATTAAGATAACTGAACAACTGTTTTTTCTGTACGATATGTTCATTTCAGAGACTAGATGTTAGTCTAAGCCACTCAGTTTATTGAGTTTTATTTAGATTTGTGGTTCACCTTCCACAAGAGCCTCACTTGACTGGGACCCCAGGTTCAGGATCTGAGCACATCTTATTCACATTCGATGGCAAAACCATCAGGACCCGAGAAACATTCATTGCAACAAGTATCTTTTTTATCTTCCTCCCACCCTATTAAACCACACTCCTTCCTCAACTCTGCAGCTGTACCTGCAGCCATCTGGCCCATTCACTTTATCCCCCTCCCCCTCCCCAGTTCCCCACCCTCTCTCATCTCCCCTCCACAGTAAGGGAGAGGTTCAACAGTTTGATGTTCGATAAAAATCTAAATTCTTGGTTGGGGCAGTTAACATCTGACAACGTAACATCAAGCCCTGCCAGGTAAAACTACACTAACATACAGTCTATGAAATCTTATATAAGACAAAACTCTTCTCTCCTCTAAAATTAAAACAAAAATTATTCCTAAAGCTGATTTGTAGAACAGAGCTAGCTAGACTTGCTTTTGTATATTTATCTAATTATTTTTTCTCTCATAAAATAAATATATTCCACAGTCATGGTGCAAGACTAAGATAAAACCAGATAAAATACATATACCAGCAAGATTTTGTTTTGTTTGTTTGTTGTTTAAAAATTAATCATGTTTATGAGGCACTCAGCAATATACCAGCTATATGACAGCAGACTGTAAATAATTTAGTCTGAACCAGACAATCTAGTGATTGACATCATGAGCATCAATCCAACTAATTGGGATCGATGACATGCATCAACCAAGTCAGCGAGCCTGACCACCCGATCCCATTAGTCGCCTCTTACGACAAGCATAGTCACCAGCAAGATATTTGTTGGTGAGTTGGTGTTGTTCCAGAACAGTTGATAAAATTTATGCACTGGTACAAGGATTTCAGTGTTTTTCATTTTGAAAATCTTTTTGAGGATGTTAATACTTTGGCAATAAAGTTTTAGAAGGCAAAAGGGTGAGGAAAGAGGATGTCACAAAACTTTTGATCTGACATGAAACTGCTTAACTGCTCCCTCAAAAGAAGGTCTTGATGTGGTTCTCTTACACTATGTCAGCCATGTCTTCAGTGTAAACACTCCTCAGAGCAGATGCTGCAGTGTATACTGTGGAGAGAGTGGTTGTGGTTGTCTGGACAGAGGATTTGTCCTGGCGTTAAACTCATCATTATCGGAACATGTTCGTGGAGGGATATTGGGTCGTGGTTGAAATCTGAAAATTCATTTGACTATGGGTCATCCTAGTCCTGAGCCACGACTGTGAAATTTATATTTTTCTTTTTACAAAAAGCCTGGGCAAGTCTAGATCAAACTAAACCAAGTCTAGTTTCCCTGATTCCATTGAAGAGGAAAGGTTATTTTGAAAGCAACTTACAATTATTTTAAAGAAATGTTTTGAAAACAGCAGAAAAGGAAGGTTCTTTAAAATATAAATTACAATTATTTTAAAGAAATGTTTTCTAACTAAGTGTTAGTCCAGGGTCCTCCCAACAAAACAGGCAGTTATGATAATTAGTCTGATGGTATCGTTTTGATATGTTGACATTTAATGATAACGATGAAAATGAACAAAATTGGTTGTTTTGTTGTTGATGTTTGATGTGGTGAAAGACCAACCTATTTGTATTTTTGCCATTTTCTATGTACTTATTCTGAATACATATGTTGATTGATATAAGCCATAATTTGACTAGAAATGAATATAGTTAGAGCAATTAATGGTTTTGCCACTTTGAACGATGTGGTCATAATTTTAAGTATCTACAGACAAAACACATCCGGCCTCAACTTGCTGTGAGTGAGTGAGTGAGTGGGTGAGTGAGTGAGTGAGTGAGTGAGTGAGTGAGTGAGTGAGTGAGTGAGTGAGTGAGTGAGTGAGTGAGTGAGTGAGTGAGTGAGTGAGTGAGTGAGGTTTTATGACGCTCTTAGCGATATTCGAGCAATATCACGGCGGGAGACACCAGAAATGGGCTTCACACATTGTACCCATGTCGGTAATTGATTCCGGGTCTTACTTGTGGCGAGCCAATACTTCAACCACTTGACTAACCGACCGCCTAACTTGCTGAGAGAAATACACCATATACATAGTAATACAAGATACAAGAACTTATTGCGCAAACATTCCAAGGAGAAACAGTGACGCTATTCAATAAACTATATAAACAGATACATGAGAAGTCAGGATAACAACACAAAGTATCAATACAAAATATTACTTTGTGACCTTGGGTTATCTATAATAAGTACTTCAGATTCATTTCAAGTTGTAGATGATAGCTATCAGACTATGTTACTTGGTTCATTGTTTGAAAAAAGTAGACTGAATATTTCTGTGATGTTAAGGCTTTCAAAACAATCATTTTTTAAGGAAACAGAATTAGATAAGGTGTGCCTTACATCTGAATATGTACTACAAGACATCCGATAGTGTTCTTCATCTGCAAGGTTGGTTTGTTTGTTTGTTGTTTAACGCCACACTCAGCAATATTCCACGTATATGACGGTGGTCTGTAAATAATCGAGTCTGGACCAGACAATCCAGTGATTGATATCATGAGCATCGATCCACGCAATTGGGATCGATGACATGCATCAACCAAGTCAGCGAGCCTGACCACCCAATCCCGTTAGTCGCCTCTTACGACAAGCATAGTTGCCTTTTATGGCAAGCATGGGTTGCTGAAGACGTATTTACCCATCTGCAAGGACTGAGCAGTGATCACAGAGATGTTC